AGGTGAAGGAGAGCAGTGCTGCAGTCGAAGGAAGCCTAGACAATGCGCCAGGTGGTTGGGGTTCAGAGTCCGCGTCTCTATCATCGCGCGGTGTTTATTGTGAGCCCATCTCGGCAAACGAGTGACGGTCGGTGTGAAGCATAGTCTCTGCTGCCGGCCCAGCGCAAAACCGTCTGACTATGAGATATAAGGCTGACGAGACGGCACACCTCGAAATGAGGATTGTGGTGGATATTGCCAGTCGGGGATATGCGAGATGCTAACCCCGAAAGGTTTGGAGCATTGATGGGAAGGGTTTAATGTGGGCTAGATTTGGCCACGCAGTCTATTCTCTTTGGTGCGAAGACTTTCATTTAGTTTGGAAGTATATCATGGAGAGATTCGTTGGTTAATCGCGCCAGAAGAGGTTTGGCGATTGACCTACGAATCTCTTCTGCATGTACTTTCATACGGAATAAAAGTCTTCACATCAATCTTGTTTCAGGAGATTCTTGTAAGCCCACATTTTCTTCTTATATTCTCTTTGGTGCATCCAACATACGTTCGAGAAATTATCAAATACACAGATATTTTTTATGCAAGTCGCAGTGGCGAATCCCCGGATCACTTAGTAAACCTAAATGACCATGCTAATTCACATGACCAACCGGGATACTTACAAGCTCACAAAAAGAAAAAAGAAATTGACCATCATAAGCGGCGTCATATGAGCCAGACTTTGTAAAAAATATTCGTAAGGAGTAATAATCTTTATCACTTCGACATTTTCTGCATGCTTGGAAGTCTATAGAGCACTTCCACTACCCCTCGTAAGATTCTATTTGCTTCGTAATAGCTCTTAAACCTGGAGGATATTAGGCATACAAGAATTCAAGAAGAAATATATACACTTTGAACTAATTAATGCTTTACTTAAATCCATTCAAAACAGGAAAGAAATTTTAGAGCACCTTTTGAAAAATGTTGTAGCATCCTTTATTCATTTGAAAGCGCAGCTGGAAGGGATTCATAACTTGGCCCCATTGGAATCCAAAGGAGGATTGCCTTGGAGCTGTAACTGCTTGAGTGTGCGAAAAAGCATTCGGCTCACTTTCCTGCGACTCCGATGAATCCTTGCTGACCTTTCGTCTGTCCCCCTGTGACATTCTCAAAGCCCATAATCATCATTTAGGGAAAAGTGCACCAAAAACACTAAGCCAGACTAAAATCCCACCTACTTCTTAAGACGAATTGTGCCATCTTAATGAGGCACCTCATGATTTATGGCTCTGACGGCGTCCGTCAAATGACACACAAAGACTAAACCAGGATTCATCGAGGTGCGCCAGCAGACACAGGCCAAATTCAATCTCTTCCGGTTTCCGATAGACCAATTTGTAAAGTATTTGCACCCGCCTTTTCAAACGAAATGAAGTTACGCCGAATTCAGTCTGATGCTGGATGCTTCGAAGCCCAGATTCTCTTCCTATTTGTAAAATTTTAATGTGAGTTTGCTCATATGCTAGACCCGGGTGACCCAAGAAGCAAAAGCAGCGTAAGCTGGCGGCAATGCACGCCTGAAAATCGTCCAAGCCTCCCTTTTATTGATTTTTATATAAAGAAGATTTTATGGCATCTTCCACACCTTGCTCCTCCTCATTTACTAAAGGTCACTTCCTTTCACTCCTCTCCTAAATCCCTAAGGAGGCCTCGTACAGGATCCCTGTTTGACTGGAAGTAAAACACAGAATGAGGTCAAGGCGAAATCCCCCTTGCAATTCTCGGCTACCAGTTCAATTATCGGCTCACCCATAACTTATGGGATAAGATCCTTATTCACAACTTTGGCCAAATATTTGTATTTGCCTTAATACAAATGGGGTTCAACTTCCTTTATATTTGACCAATTTATTTCTACACTCACTTCAGACTCTCCTTCCTAAGCTCTATTCTCCTTAGTCTCTCGGGAACCTGGATTCTATCGAACCAGAGATCAAGAAAATGTGGGTACATTTGGGAGATGTGTTCATATCTATTTATTCTGAAATATTTTTCATCCTAGAGGCCGATACAGCTTCCGAGCAATTGCATCTTATTTCTTGATCACATACTCAAGCTGATAACTGAAATTATCCAATCCTTATTGCCTATATAACATTTTTATAAATAAATTTCATAATTATATTCAAATTCAAATTCATTGCTGCATTTTCTGCATGTAACTATGTGAAAAGGTAGAAAGTCCATTTATGATCGCTTCAGTCAAATTATTTGAGCACTTCAATGTCTTCATTTTTTATTTATAATCTTGACGAGATCGATCCAACTTCCATGACTAATTCTCGATTCTCGATTATCAATCCCCATCCCTTGTGAATCCAGAGCCATGTAATGTTGTGTGAATCTCACCCGAACGTTCTTCTGCCCTGGGATGTGCATCAGAGCCTTATCATCAAGTCATCCGCCAGCGCCACCCGTCTGATCCGTCTGCTGATGAAGAGTTTTTTTACTCAAGAAGAGCTGGCTGCTTCCTCTTTGTCAGGCGAGGGCATCTACAAGAAACGACTTGACCCCAGTGTTACAGAATCAATCAAGTGTGAGTACCCTGTGTTGCCACTTGATGTTTGCTAATTTTTGAATACTTTTTACATGCAACAAGAAAATAAAAATTTGCGAGATATTGCAATGGCATCAAATATGCTTTAGGTTTTCGGTAAATCCATTGAGTTTGAATCAGTAAAATACGCATATAAAGTATGTAAAGTGGGAATAAGCGGGAGGATTGAATAGACATTTTCATATAACAATTATTGTATAATAGTTTAAATGGGGCAGGCGGTGATTTAGATAATGCTAGTGATGATGCTTATCATATATTTGATTGTTTATATTATGTCTGCATTGGGTATAATTCAAATTTCCTTACACATATTCTCGCAAAATCCCCAAATATGGCATCATATCACCTCATGAACAATAACCATAAAATGGTATCATTCAAGGCTTAAACTAAGAACTATACCAAATAAGAGCAGAGGTAGCAAGTTGATGAACGCTGGGACGTCCTTTAGCGTAAAATTACCGATAAGTCCAGACTAATGGCACCCAAAGTATTCAAAGCAATGCCCAAAAGCCCATATAGTGGTTTGCCATATTCACCACAAGGCAACAGCTGGACACTTGAGTCGTCAATAGTGGCTCCATCTGACCACCTTGCCCCAATTGTTGCTTGGCCCCTCTCCTACTTCCCTCTCCAGGGCTCTCCAGACTGGGCATATTCACATTCAATTTGCATCCAACACAGAGGGTCGGAGAGCAAGACCCTCTAAAAAGATGGCAGAATCTCGTTAATCTACTCAGAAAATGCATCAGTTATCTCAGAGAGCTGGTCTACACATCCACCGAGGGTGAATATATGTATTAATGTACAAACATATGCGAGTATATACGTGTATTTTCTGCTTTAAATCGAGAAAGATAAAATTAGTCTGCCTATTTGCAGGTGTCTGTAGCTAGATGAGCTCAAGTCCTCCTGGCTCTTGCCTCGTAAAGGGGAACCGAAGAGCAGGGAATGACAGTGGGATGCAATTTTATTCGATTGTACCAACGGGAGGAAAAGACTAATTATGCAGGCCAGAGATGATTTCATGTGATTATAGCAATTGCGTGAGTCTTTAATTTTAGTTAGGTGTCCTGAGGCACACCAGTTGAACCGAGTCTGAAGTAGTCGAAGAAATTTCCTTCAAACTTGCAGAGTGAATAGCTAAATTTCATCTCCAGATATCCTAACTCACATACACACACATACACATACACAATAACATAATTACCCAAATGTATATGTGAATATTGGAAATAAGTTAAAGATAATCAGTGACCATGCGTGCGTATGGAACTGTTCATACATGTTATCTATAAATGTTGCCGCATAGGTGTCGCGACTTTTCAAGCCTGCTCCTCTCTTGATTCACTCTAGCTTATTCTTTCCCATTAGTATGCTTGTATGCCTTCTTTTAGTTGAATTACTTTATTCATCTTAATTTTTGAGATTCTGCATACATCTCTTTGTCTATTTACGTATCTTTCTATCTATTTATATGCCTATCTACGTATAGCTTTCGTAGTGCCTATACTTCTATCAATCTATCTATATATCAAGTTGTATCCTTCTATCAAGATGTCTTTGAATAT